TCCATTCCAGCTGTCATCCGTACGCAAGGAAGTAAGCACAAGATGTCGAACATCCTTAGCAGGATGCAGCGCACCCTTCATGCGACTCGCCGAATATCTCACGGCGCTTCGCGCTTGGTGATGTGAGAGCCTGGTCCGGTGAGAACCCGGCGTGCTCCGTCCCGGCTTTGTAGGGATGCGAGGTCAATGGTCTAACGACTACGGCATGCACGACTATGAGTACCCCCCCCCCCCCCCCCCCCCACCCCCCCCATCTCTCTCTATGTATATCTCCTCGCGTGGTGACCTTGTTCTATAGGCGAGCCGAAAGGGTCTTCTGTTGTTCGTGGACGAGGCGGATGCCTTCCTTCGACGGCGCAACACGGAGACCATCAGCGAGGACCTGCGCAACGCCCTCAACGCCTTCCTCTACCGGACGGGAGAATCGACGGTACGAGAGAACCCTGAACCTAGATGTCGGAACAGAAAGTACAGCAGTAGAGAATGCGATCGTTCAAGCCGCCCGGCTTTCATTTTCGAGACCTCAACGAAGGATGTTTTTTATTCGATCGTGAACAAGGCGGCAGTAGTAATAGTTCCCATCACGATCTGTTTTTTATCGACGCGTCCGAACGGCCGACGTTGGTTTAGCTGGGAGACGCTCGCCCTGCCTTGCGCCTGCCGTCGTTGATTTTTTGCTCGGTCCGCACCTCCTCGTTTGTCCTTTGTTATGTCGACTCGAGTCTTTTTTTGCTCCCGGCCATGTCACTTCTTATACGGTGTGGCCTTCCGTATTGTGTGACGGCGGCTGATGCGTCCCGTAATTTCTTCCGCCAGGTGTAATGACACATGTCCAGAGTGAACGGGGCGACACCTATACACAGATGCTTTTATTTGTGTTGAGGGCTATTGCTGTCGAAGAATGTGTACTCACCGACGCCTTGCATGGCTTTCCTGGAGCGACTTCCTGGTCCCCCAGTTTTGTTCGAAAATGCCGTCTCGCCGAATGCCACGTTACACCGTAAACACCCGACACGCTTGCTTGTGATACCGCACCATCCCGTACCGTACCGTACCGTACCCAACGGCCGACGGCCAACGGCCAACGTCAAGTTCGTGCTGACGTATCTCACCAAGCCATCCGGCAATCACGCGTGTGATGTCATACCATTACATCCCATACCGTACAGTACCAAGGGCAAGTTCATACTGGCCTTCGCATCTCACAAGCCCATCTGGCATCCACGCGTGTGGCACGATACCATACTAAGCCGTGCCAAGACAGGGTCATACTGATGTACGTGTCTACCGTACAAGTGTATTCGTTCCGCCACCATTCCATACCATACCGTACAGTACCGAGACGTTTCATAGAGACGTACGTCTCTAACCGTGCACGCGTGTGATAACGCACCATTCCGTACCATACCGTGCCTTAGCCAAGGGGAACCTCATGTTGGCGTATACATCTCACCAGCCCATCTGGCATCCATGCAGTACCACACGGACCAGTTGATACTGATGCACGTGTCTAACCGTGCACGTGTGTTGTACCACACCATTCCGTACCGTACCAGGACAAGTTCATGCTGGTGTACGCGTCCAACCAGCCGGAGCAGTTCGACTGGGCGGTGAACGACCGCATCGACGAGATGGTGCGCTTCGACCTACCCGGGCGAGAAGAACGCCTGCGGATGGTAAACCTCTACATGAAAAACTACCTCCTCGACCCTCCGGGAAAGGCGAAAGTCATCAGGGTCGACGGAATTGAGGTATGTAGGCGCTCGGGCGCCTGCGAAGGCCGTGCGGTCTCGCTACTTGCTGCGTTCCGCTATTTGGTTCTTTCAGTCTCTTGTTGCTTGCCATTGCGAACACGTTCAGACAGATCTGGCGAGACCGAGGTTGTTCGATGTTTCTGCAACTTGCCGGTCGCAACTTCCGTCTGCCGGTTATGTTTTCTGGTAAACGCAACGTACCGTTATCAAATGCCTCGACCCTCCTGGCAAGATAGTCTACAAAGGGCGATCGGTTTTGGCGGGACGCTAGAGGATTTCATCGGGCTTTTTCGTCGGCTCCGTGGCACTTTTCTCTCTTTTTTTGTCGCTTAGAACGATTGCCATGACGGTTACGTCACTCGTCCTTAGGGTGTCCTCACTTGTTCGGGGTAGAATCCGCTCATGATATCAACGAACGCAGAAGCACTATTGGGGAAAAAAGATTGTTGTAATGTCGGGATCCAAAACTCGTCAATTCGGTTTTGGCAATAGCTCGTTTTGCTTGTGGCTAGCCTTTTCCTTCCCGTGGGCTCTCTATTCTCACCGGGACCATGCTTGTGTTGTGGATGTTTTGTTTTGGTTCGTTTCCCGAAAGGACTCCCACCTGCAAGATGTGGCCGACTTGACGGAGGGGTTCTCGGGGCGAGAGATAGCCAAGCTGGCCATCGCGTGGCAGGCGGCGGCGTACGGGACGCCAGACTCTTCCTTCAACGCGGAGCTAATGACGGAAGTCTTGCAGGTGGGTTGGTTCCATGGCAGTGTTTTTTTGTTTGTGTCGTTCCACCTCCAGACTCTTCGCTCAACGCAGAACTAACAACGGAAATCGTAGAAAGTGGCTTGCATGGTACGGTCATTGGTAACCTTCCACCAGACTGTTCCTTCAACGAAGAGTTAATGTCGAAAGTCGTGGAGGTGGGTTCCATGGTAGTGCTATTGTGTGTGTGTTTGTTGTACCGCTCCGCCGTTAGACCCTTCAACGCGGAGCTTGTCACGGAAACGTTGGCGGGGCGTTCCGTATTCCATACCATCTTTGTCTCGTTGTTTTGTGTTGTGTTGTTCCGGCTTCGTTCGTCGAGTTGTCGGGCGTTTGAGCAAAGCATGTGAACACCTCCATACAGTCAACCTGCCCAGATGCTTGTCTTGGAAAGATCCGCGGTAACTCCACGAGACACGCCTGATTTACTGCCCTCTTTGCCGACACCCCTCCTCCACCCAGAGGATAGTTCGAAGCAAAAGTGAGTTGAGATTGTAGCTTGTACGCCGCTCTGGTTTCTGCGAGCTACGATGGAAGTTTCGTCGAACGCTTGCCTCCTGAAGCGCAAAAGGACCAGCCAATATCCCGTGTCTGATTTTTTCTGTTCCGTCCCCTCCGTCACTTTGCGTGTTCTTTTCATGCTCACACCACAGGCGCACCTGCAGCAGAAGAGACAGAAGCAGGCCTGGCTCGAAGGGGCGCAGACTAGTTCAGGCGGGTTGATCATGCCACCCCCTTCCGAGACGGCGGGGGCGACCGTCGAGCCAATCCCACCACGGCTAGTGCGAACGCTCACGCAGGATGCGCCAGAAGACGGCACGAAAGGGAAGCCGAAGGGCACAAGCTAGTTGGGGGAAAACATTGGGGTAGCGGGAAAGGGGAGGGGAGGTTGTTGCAGGCCTGCTGGCGTTCAGTGAGGGGTAGAGGGTTGGATACGGTAAATATGAGGTCACTCGTTCCCGGTGTGTACTTTCGAATTTGTTTGCTGGGCTCCGATTCCGCACTCTCTGTGTGGAGTGTCGCAATCCTGGCTCTGGGCACCACTCGCAGCTGCTGAAGTAATATTATTGGGGTAACTTTCATCTGCCGAGTGGGATGTGCGGAATCCAGATTGGATGCACAGCGTAGGCTTCGACCGCATGGGGGTAGGGAAGGTTTTCCGCTGTCCCTCTCGGATGCGAAAAAACGATGGCAGACTTTCGTGTCTTTCCCATGACTCTGGTCCATGCACCGAATATCCATCGAAAGACGTGCCTTGCTCAATAGGATGTTCCGCAACGCCCTCTGACTTGACATTCGAGTGCTCTCCAGCGGAACAAAGTCTTCGGGGACTCCTTGCCGTGCGGTCGGGTTTTTCTGCGGCAACAACTGCTGGTATTGTCTCGTTCAGCTTTCAATCTTCTGACCGGACGCAAGCAGCCGTTGTCACATTCTGGAAAAGTCCAAACGAACAATCGCCACCGTGACGAAACGGAGAGGAAATTCGCACTCACGTCTTGTACCGCCAGCACCAGCATCAGCTCCAGCGCTTCAGTTGAACATACTCTGATACTAACTCGCAGGCCCTAAAATCCGCGTTCATAGTTCGGCAGGCGTCAAAATGGGGCTGGGTTTGGTTGGGTGGTCTGACAAACCTTCCCACTGTCTTCCATAGCCTCTGTGGCCGGTGCCTCATACGTACGCCGGAACTGCTATCGCATGCCACAATAATAGCAGGGCACGTATATTCTTCTTCCTGCAGATGGACGCTGATAACCTGCAGTCCTAGTTACTCATGTCCATCCTCGCCAGGTCATCTTGGGAACAACCCCGGGATCCGAGGTGTGTACTAGACTACACATTTCAGGATTGCTTGTGGCAACATCATGCATAGCGTCACAGAGACAAGAGTTGAAAAACAATGAAAGAAGGTGTAAGGGGGTGGGTGCGAAGGAGATGTGGGGGGGGAAACAAGTTGATTCTCGTGTGTTTATGGAGGGTTTTTTACGTACCACCTCCTGCTCGTTACAGCTGCTCGTCAGTAGACAAATCCAGTGAACCCCAGCTTTTCACGTCGACACAACCCCTTTCTTCCCAATCCTGGTGCAACAAGCCATCGCCTACAAGCAGCACTTTAACCTACAGGCTCAAATATAAGAAAGGGAAGACTGTACACCGGAAATTTATCCTAACCAAAAACAAAATCAAAACAAAGAATTCAGGACAATGTGAAATACGACCAAACTGGGATGAGTGGCCAACCTAATGCGAATCAAAGGGCGTAATGTAAATGACACGGTTGTCCTGTCACGTGGCTTTTAGGCCTGTCCAGGAGTACCGGGAATAGTTTTCCTGATCAGACAGGCTGCGATGACTGCCCCTACCATTTCAAGCGTTGGTGTTTCTTTTGGTGTTTTGGACTTTTGCGTGCTTTGGAAGAAGAGGCTTTGAAGAGCGTGGAGAGGGGGCGTGCTTTGGAGCCGATGCTTCACGGATACGTGTATAGACTATATATAGTCTAGTCTAATGTGGAAAGAACTGCGTACTAGACTAGTCTATTAAAGTGAAATTTACAGTTCTGACTGCTTTGCACTACCACATGTACTACTGTATCCAATCGGTTTGGCTAAGAAAATCATCCAGGAACTGCTGGCCTCGTGAGACCGGGTAAAGCATGGGGTTGCCAACGTACTTTACTTGCTTAACGGCGCGGCCCGGGGGGCGGGCAGATTAACCGGCTGTGACTCGCTGGGTGTACGGAGCGATTTTGCACACGCTCGCCATTGCGCGACGTCAAACGGTAATTCACACCGTTGTCCTCCCCACCGACGTCACGCCCCAGTGGATAACTACATCCACAGTGTGACGGCCTAACTGTCTACAATAGCACCTGCGGCAGCACCATCTGTCGCAGAGACAATCGGGTCTAACAACAATTGCTTGTCGTCACACCATACGCGCACTAGTCTACATGTCTCTTCCCCATTATCCTTCATGTGTCTACTTGGGAGAGGTCTCTGCACACCGCTACAGTGGCCATCCCAGTTGGGGGATGCCCGAACGCTTGCCTGGATACGACCATCGGTGTAGACAGGCTGCTGTCTAGAAGTCACGCCTCTAATTATATATTATTTTTTTAATTTTTTTGCCTTCCGACAATTGCAGATGTACCTCAGAAAACTTTCACTTAATGTCTCATACTCTACATGAATACTAAACCAATACGAAGTACAACAACATATGTAGGACTTATTTCTACTGTCATTTACATCGTAAAAATATCTCCTCTTCAATTTCAAATAACACCAATGACAATCCTGATGGTATCCTATATGCGTTCGTAAGCTTGCTAAAATACTACTGCGTTGATGTCCGCTTGTAAAAGCTGAAATACAACAAATGCTTTGATCCATGCTACATCTCCGTGTTGGAAAAGCCCTTTCATCTCCGTTCATGATAACATCTTACCCTATTCTACGCAAATCTGTCACATCTACTCTCAAACAAGACGCCAACTTCAAACGAAAACGCGTTCTACGATGCCTGTGGGTGAAACCTGACGACCTGACCTATGTGCAGCACATCCTCCTCTTTAACCCCCGCGGCCCTCCGAAGAGTAACTTACGAGATACACCGCATGTCTTCGGCCGGTGGGAGGTGGGGGGGTGTACTCATAGTCGTGCACGCCGTAGTCGTTAGACCATTGACCTCGCATCCCTACAAAGCCGGGACGGAGCACGCCGGGTTCTCATCGGACGAGGCTCTCACATCACCAAGCGCGAAGCGCCGTGAGATATGAAGGGTGCGCTGCATCCTGCTAAGTAAGGGTGTTCGGCATCTTGTGGCATCTTGTGCTTACTTCCTTGCGTACGGATGACAGCTGCGTATGANCGCATCCCTACAAAGCCGGGACGGAGCACGCCGGGTTCTCATCGGACGAGGCTCTCACATCACCAAGCGCGAAGCGCCGTGAGATATGAAGGGTGCGCTGCATCCTGCTAAGTAAGGGTGTTCGGCATCTTGTGCTCACTTCCTTGCATAAGGATGACAGCTGCGTAATTTATGACTTAATTATTTTCTGGTGCTTTCACTTCCAGAGGCAGTCTTAAGCACTGCAGCTGTATAACTGCCTCGAGGGTGCTTGACCATTTTAACACAACGTGGTGCCCCCNGGGGGGTGTACTCATAGTCGTGCACGCCGTAGTCGTTAGACCATTGACCTCGCATCCCTACAAAGCCGGGACGGAGCACGCCGGGTTCTCATCGGACGAGGCTCTCACATCACCAAGCGCGAAGCGCCGTGAGATATGAAGGGTGCGCTGCATCCTGCTAAGTAAGGGTGTTCGGCATCTTGTGCTCACTTCCTTGCATAAGGATGACAGCTGCGTAATTTATGACTTAATTATTTTCTGGTGCTTTCACTTCCAGAGGCAGTCTTAAGCACTGCAGCTGTATAACTGCCTCGAGGGTGCTTGACCATTTTAACACAACGTGGTGCGAATATCCCCCTTGCGCTGAGTGAGGGTCCTCCACCCCGCACAACAACATGATCTAGTCTACTTGACCACCATTATGGTTACCGCCAAAAAAAAACAGAGGAAAAAAAAACACGGCAACCTGGTTGCCGAGTTCACGAAGTGATTTGGCTTGTTTTACAACGNAGGACGGAGCATTGTTCCAACAGGACCGATCAATGTATGACCACTTCGGCTGTGGGTAGATATTTCACGCGCGTCAGCGCTTGGCTGTTTCTATCGTGTGACTGCTGTTGCCGAGGTTCTCAGATGGCGCGTGCTGTACAGGCTAGCACCTGCGGATATATGTCAGCTATTCAGCGGTATGTACGTACATGCATGCATGTGGTCTACACGTACGTGTCGACCATAAGTATAAAATATATATATTGCACGTGGTCTACGTATATGTCATGTAACGAAGAAACACCAGTTGGCCTCGTGCCTGAGAGCGGTACATGACTACGGGTAACCCCCATATGTACCCTCGACATTGATTGTGGCGTTTTGTACGGAGTTTCGTGCAGGAATTGCCTTGTTGACGGGCCGGATGATGCAGCATTTCGTGTCACGGTAAATTATCCACATCACGGGTGGGTGACGGCAATTGAAATCCAATACACCTGCCGTGAGTAGCACTTCTATCTCTCAAAACCAGTCCCCCTTGCTGGGCGCGCAGGAGAGACCCACCACCGAGCTCGGTAAGGCATCGAGGCCGCCCTCTCGCTGTCCGGTGGTGGTCGCACATGTATTGTTCTGACTGCGTAGATAAATGACAACCACATTCTCGTCCCCTTACGCATAGGTGACCGAGGATCAACTGGTGGCGGTGCGTCACGAGCAGAAGCACCGACAGCAGCTGGGTGAAGAAGTGTACCGCGACTCGAAGTAGCTGGTTGCCACGGAGCTAGACCGCATGGCTATCCTCATGTCCGAGATCTATGACTGCAGGGTAAGAGTCTGCGGTCTGATCGCCGAGTGTTGGTTGAGACGGAGTGAAATGGACGGGGTGGTTACAGACAACCAGATTACCCTCGGCGTGCCAAGAGTGCTGTGCTGTGAAAGGGACAGAGTGTTGTTTCGCGTGCTAGCTCGACGGCGTCATTTGACTTGTACCGTTCATGTGTTTGTTGCAACAGACCTCCGAGAAGCGGTGCCTGAGGCACTTCCTGGGTCTGGCCATCGACCTGAACACCGCCGAGACAAACGTTCTGCAGGGAGAGGAGGTGGGTGCTGCGCGTGGGGAACCAGCCTCGAAGAAAGAAGATACGATCGAATAACGAGAAACGCGCAGCAGCTCCATGATTTCTCGATTCTGCTGCCGATGTCTTCAGCGAAGCGACCATCATCCGCGTGCAGGCATTCCGTTCGCCCTGTAAGCGTGCTAGACCTATCGAACACAACTGCTCGTTAGCTCCAAGTCACGTCTCTACCGTCGCGTGGCCGTGTTTAACATGAGTGAAGTCATAATGGACTACACCAGACCCTCGTACACCACTGCATCAATACTACCCGTGCACCACTCCTAGAATTATTGCATACCTACCGCCCGCCGTGGGGTCGACTGTTTGCGGCCTGGCAGAGGAGGAAGAGGAATTCGCGACTGAGGAGGACGAGGTTGGGGAAGGCACGTCGAGCCAAGGTGGAGGGAGGGCGGAGAGAGAACCTGTGGAAGGAAGACCAGGTTTCAACCTTGACACGACGGCAGCCCCGGGGCCCGTGGGACCGCCCGCGCCCGTAGCGCCGGCGGCGCCACCGGCCGCGCCCCAGGAGTCGGGCGCGGGCGACGCTGGCGATG